CCAAAGTAGAAGGCTGTCACGCCCATCATAGTTCCTACACTGTACCGTTGGCGGCTACCGCGCCGCTGGCTCTTTTATTTCCCAACCAAGGGACCCCGCGCGCCAAGGCACCGACGCACAAGGCTACTCAACACGCTAGCGTAACGATCAAGAGAGTGGCCGCCGTGTCTAAGCGCGCAACATGCCGGACGGAGACGGACGACAACCTCCGGGGGGATCAGGTCAGGCTGCCCCTCCTCTCGGGGAAGACGTCGCGGACGGAGGAGGGAGCGATTCTTTCTTCGTCAACGATGCACGAGACCGAGTGGGTGCGCGAGCGGCAGGAGGGGAAGATCAGCACGACACGATGCGTGAGCTGGTTGACCTCTTCAAGCAGGCCTTCGCGACATCAACTCATGACCAGGGGTACCGTGTCCACTCAGGCACGTCTAGCAACCAGATCTTAGAACTGAGGCAGAGCGAAAAGATAGATGTACCAGTATGGAGTGATGACTAGACTATCTGAAGAACAGGTCGATCGAAGTTGCATTGCGAGTGTTCACGAGTGCTTTTGAAGCGTGGCTGGAGAGTGAGGGACTTGCTGGTGTGATGAAGAGTTCAGAGGTCCCTGTTGGTGCAACTGGTGTGGATTTGAATTGGTTGAGCAGCACGTTCGGAGAGGAGAGAGTGAAGCAATCCAGGAAGATTTGGACGTTTATGCTAGCTAAGATCACAGCAGCACAACCCGTATTAGCCCAAATCTTGGCATCAGAATCACCTCAAGCAGGGTACCGCGTGTTTATCGAACAATAGAGCCAGGACAAGAGTCAGGAGCGACAAACTCTTGACGACGCATGGAACGTAGGCCAGAGGCAAGGAGTGAATCTTAAGGACTATTACGGTAGGGCAGTTGCGCTGTGGATAAGACTTCGATCGTATGGTGATAACAGGGATGAAAAGTCGATGTGCAGGCNAAGAGTTCAGAGGTCCCTGTTGGTGCAACTGGTGTGGATTTGAATTGGTTGAGCAGCACGTTCGGAGAGGAGAGAGTGAAGCAATCCAGGAAGATTTGGACGTTTATGCTAGCTAAGATCACAGCAGCACAACCCGTATTAGCCCAAATCTTGGCATCAGAATCACCTCAAGCAGGGTACCGCGTGTTTATCGAACAATAGAGCCAGGACAAGAGTCAGGAGCGACAAACTCTTGACGACGCATGGAACGTAGGCCAGAGGCAAGGAGTGAATCTTAAGGACTATTACGGTAGGGCAGTTGCGCTGTGGATAAGACTTCGATCGTATGGTGATAACAGGGATGAAAAGTCGATGTGCAGGCACATAGTCCGGGGATTTCTCCCAAGGTTTGAGAAAACTGAAGACCGTATTCTGTTTGATTCGATGTTGTCGAGGGCTACAATGCAGATGATGCTGAGGTTGGAAGAGCACGGGCTGAGGTACGAGCGGAGAGCTGGAGAGGGGAAGCCACATCAGCAGCAACCATCGCACTTCTGCCAGCTCCACGGCCCCAACAGCACCCACGAGACCTCCGAATGTCACAAGTTACGCAACGAATTCCTCGCCCACTACAACGAGTTCTGCGCGTACATGAGCGGGAGGCGGGAGGCCCAGGCATCGGTCTTCCCTCGAGGCGGAGCCCAAGACTCGGGGCGGATGGTTGGTAGCCCATATCGACAGCAGTCGGGGCCACTCTCCAGCGCTGCCGGGACCGCCGCGTGGGCAAGGACCCGGAACTGGAGGACAGCTGCAGGGGCGCAACTCTGGGGGGCGTGGGTATGGTGGATACGGTCCTTCCCCCCCGGAGAGCCGAGGTAGTCAGGTGGGCGGCCGTGGTGGTAATTATCCGCCGCCCAACGTTCCTCCCGCGCAGATTGCCAACGTACCGCGGCCCTATTTTCCGGCTCATTTCGCCATCGGAGGTGGAGAACCATCAGGCGGCGGCATCAGCTCGGGATGGGAGGCCACGTCAGCGCCCGGATCTACGCCCAGCTGGACCCCACCACCTCCTGAGGCAGGCTGCGGGTACGGGCTCGCGGCTCACGGAGTGGACCATGGCGGAGGTCCCTACGGCAGCGCCGCCGGCGGGGGATACGGTTTCCACCAATTGCCCGACGGCGGAGGGCTCCACCAGCAGCAAGAAGTGAGCAACGTAGCACACTATCTTTCTGCTGCTGGATCGGACGCCCAACAACCGCGTGCCTACGAGGCCTTCGACACCTCGCAGCAGCATGAGCAGCAGCAGCACTACGGTGCACCCCAGGCGACCTCTTCCTCCTCCTCTCTCTGTCCAGCTCCAGGCGACGCTCTACCTCCAGCCGGCGATTCCCCTCTGCATCTCTTCGTGGCACGTGGCGTGTGCCCTCGAGGAAAGTCTGAGATTGATTTTGAGAAGGATGTTGGTTTTTCGAAGTCTGACGTGTTCACGAGTGCGGAGTCTCATGTGTCAATGCCTGGTGTTCCCCGCGTGCCTGCTGTGCATGAACGTTCTGATGATGAGTTCGGTGTCTTGAAGTTTGGTGTGTCTACTCATGATGTACCCCGCGTGCCCGCTGCACTTGAGAGTCCTGATGAAGTGGTCGACGTTCCGGAGTGTGATGCATCTGTCCCTGCTCCACCAAGTGTGCCTGGAAAGGTTATCGTGGCCCGTCTCACCCGCCCTCCCGCGGTTGAAAAAGCTTGCTTGTGCCAACCCTCCATGCCGAATCCGATTGGTAGTGAACAATGGCAGGCCGATTCTGGAGCCAGTGCGATGATTACTAACAAAGTGGATGCAATGTACAATGTACGCCACTTGGGCCCGGATGAACGATTTATTCAGATTGGAGACTCGGCTCTCATCAAGGTTGCCGCCGTAGGGAGTTTGGACCTTAGGTACCACCGAATCGGAGCCGACGGGAAACAGGAGGATTTGGACGTCACTGTGCCAGAAGTCTTGTTTGTACCCGGGTGTGGTTTCAACCTTTTCTCGGTATGGAAGGTGTCTCACAAGCATGAGGTCCGTATCAACCCCAACGGTACGCAAATGATGCACGGAAAACTGCGTTTTATTCGTGGCGTTTCTAGCGATTCCCTTTTTGCAACCCGCCTTCCCCACAAATCCTTGCCTTCTATGGACGTTGCGAATGAGAGTGCCCGTGAGAGTTCATTTTCCTTTGTGGCATCGGCTCTTACAGTCGCGATGGATTCCGATCTAGAACCCCCCCGTGTGACGGATTCTGTAGCGGAATACACAGCGAAGATGATTGATGTGTGGGAGAGTGAAGAGTGTGAACGCGCNGATTCCCTTTTTGCAACCCGCCTTCCCCACAAATCCCTGCCTTCTATGGACGTTGCGAATGAGAGTGCCCGTGAGAGTTCATTTTCCTTTGTGGCATCGGCTCTTACAGTCGCGATGGATTCCGATCTAGAACCCCCCCGTGTGACGGATTCTGTAGCGGAATACACAGCGAAGATGATTGATGTGTGGGAGAGTGAAGAGTGTGAACGCGCCATGGCTATGTTGGGTTCGGGGAAGACACCTTTCAATGTTGGCAATGCACAAAAGGTTATGGACATTAACACGTTCCACAACCGAGCCGGCCACTTGTCCGAACCCATTTTGAGACTGTCCGCGAAGCAGCACGGGATTACCCTCACGGGCACGATGGACAGCTGTCGATGGTGCTTGCCGGCGCGAGGGACGAGGGCGCCGGTGCCGAAGCAGGGGGGCGGGTACCGCGGCAAGAGGGCGCCGAACGACGTGTTCCACATCGACCTCTGCGGCGCGTACACGGCGACGATCGGTGGCAACCACTACATGCTCTTCGGTGTGGACGCCGCCACGGGATGGATGGTCTGCTACGCCATGCGGCGTAAGTCGGGGGCGCGAGCGGTCGTCAAGCGCATGGTCGCGGATGCCGCCCACAAGGCTGGTGCTGCGATCAAGTGCATCCGCTGCGACTGCGATGCCCTCTGGACCAGCAGCGACTTCAAGGAGTTCTGTGCCAGCATAGGGATCGCGCTCGAGTACTCCCCTCCCGGCGTGCAGCAGTACGACGGCGTCGTCGAGAGCGCCATCCAGAGGTGCCTCAAGGTGGCCAACACATCCCGCCGGGCCGCCCAGGAGCTGCTTGGCCCCGCAGGATTTTCTCGTGTCAGCGGGCTGAGTGTTCGTGGCGATGAGCTCTGGGCGGAGTCCGCAAAAGACGCCGCGCAGAAACTGAACCAGTCAGCATCTCCTTCCAACCCCGGGGGTGCGTCGCCGCAGGAACTTTACACCGGCAAGGGAGGCCCTTTTCGCTTGATCCCGTTCTTCCAGTACGGTTTCATGTGGGAGCGGCCGGCAACGAAAATGGACGACAGGACCGTGCCGTGTTTTTTCCTCAACACCGGGGACAACCACGCCGACGTCACCGTTAAGGTGCTCAAGGAGTGAACCGACCACGTGTGCTACACCTCGAATGTAGCGTGGGCGGCGCTCCCGCCGTCGGGGGGG